ACAAATGGGGGGTTTAAGTCCTTTATAAATGCATAGTTCGGAATTCAATTCTAAAAAGCAGCCCCTTATACCACTGTGACACCTGCAGGACAGGTGTGGCACTAGCAGTGAAAGAGAGGTGCAGTCCTAACTAGGAGCGACAGGGGTCTCTCTCCAGCACATTTCTCTTGGTTCTAGAGATCAACCGGCCGCAAGCTGAACGAGTCCGGCGAACAACCAGGGCGATGTCACTGTATTCGGGTGTCTGAAAGTCCTCAGCCGTTATATACATTATAAACGATTTGGTAAGTTAAGGCTTCTTTTTATCTGCAGTACCGTGAGTCTTGAGCCCTTGTAACAGAATCCACAGCTGTCATTCAGGAGCCGGGCCCGCCCCCAGAGTGACCTTCCTCAGCGGACACGCCCCGTCCACCTGTTCCACAGGTGCGCCCGGCAAGATGGCGGCGGGGTGAGGTTCTGCGGTGTTAGGTGCGTTTGCGTTTTCCTTCTAATTTTCTTATTTTAAATACAAAAACTCAAATTTTACTTAGAGGAAAGTTAGACAAAAAATGTTTTGTTGTTGCAACTTTTGTTAATTGCATTTGTTCCTGTTTAATTTGTGTTTTAGGACGCCGAAATGAGTGTTCTGTTTGAGCGTGCTCTCGACGTTTTAGAAGTCATGTAAGTATGTTTTTATAAGATAAGGTTTGTTTCTTTCAACGAATAAAGGCTGAAGTTAACCTTCAAACATTTGCTTTCTAAAGTCAGTAGCTGTGAAATCTCCGCTTTTCAGATCCGGGCTATAAAAACGCTTTCCGCTCAGAAAATGATAAAACATTGTAAAGATTTAATTGTCTAATTCGTATGTTTTTTTTTTCTTTTGGTGACAAAAGGATTTCAAGAACGGGTCTCCAATTATGAAAACTGTTTTTTTCCAGGGCAAGTTCTATTACTCCCTTGCACTATACTGTTTATATTTGTGCAACACGTATTTCCCAACGTTTTAACACCAGAACAGGTTTATACTAACTATATAACTTTTGCTCTTTTCATTGTGCTTTTGTTGAATAGAAATTGAACCTCTAAGGCCGCTGGTTCTTTTATTCATCTATTGAATCCATTGGGTAAAGATGGATAATACCGACATATTTGCACGATGGTTTTCAATGCGTGGAGTTAAATCGAATATGATAAACGCTATAAGTGGTACTTTCTTTATACAGGCAGCAAAAAAAAGTGAATAGACCTCAGATCGTCAACTGAATCGATTCTGCAAATCCGATATCTTGTTAACTTGATTCTTTTTTTTGTTTGCCTTCAGTTCTGCGGCTCCTGGTTATCTGGTTCTCCTTTCCAGCTCCACTCCAGCAACTCGACGAGCGTTGGCAAGTTATTCTTGACAATGTGTGCTTTTCCTGTAATTTTGTTTCTGATATCCGTGGCTTGATCTGTTGTGTACCCTTTGTATACCGTTTTGCCTTTTTCTTAACCTGCATGTTTACTGTTGACTGCTGCTACTGTATTTGCTGTGCATTATGCAATAAGAACTCGTTAATTTCACAGGTGCGCCTGGCAAGATGGCGGCGGGGCGAGTGTCTGCGGCGTTAGGTGCGTTTGCGTTTTAATTCTGATTTTCTTATTTTAAATGCAGAAAAACTCCAATTTCACTTTGAGAAAAGTTAGACAAATGTTTTGTTGTTGCAGCTTTTGTTAATTTCATGTTTTTTTTTGTTTAATTTGTGTTTTACGACGCCGAAATGAATGTCCTCTCTGAGCGTGCTCTCAAAGTTTTAGAAGTCTGCATTCAGCGTTCTTAAGTAGTTTCTTAAGTAGTTTTTAAAGACATGCTATATCTAGCTCTGTTTCCTTTAAAGAAAAAAACTAATTTATCTTAAGTCATTTGCTGTATAAAGTTTTTAACAGTGTATCTCTGGTTTTTAAAATCTGGTTATAATATCGCTTTCCGTTCCGATACGATAATCGTTTGCAAATATTAAATGTATTAATTCGTATATTTCTTATTTCTCCAGGTGACAAAGGGATTTCAAAAACGGGCCACAAGTTATTAAAGTGTTTTTTCCGAGGTAAGTTGTATTCTTATCTTACGCTATATTTATGTATTAAAGTCGACATGTATTTCACATGATTTTAACACCAGAACGGTTTTATACTAATGTTATCAATTATTTTCGTTTAGTTGCGCCTTTGTTGAATATAATAGGAAACACTAAAGCGCTGGTTCTTTTTTATGGATTCTTTTGTTCATAATAGGCTGAACCTACTTTCTAAATATTGGAGTAGTGAGAC